AAAGAGAGGTTTGGAGAAATTCATTACAACATTTAATACTCTTTTGTGTGATGTCTGATAATGTGGCTTAGTATGATGTTTTTAGGTAGACTCTTTGATGCAGCTTCTCCCATTAATTGGATCCTCAAACATAAGGTACTATTTACGCAAAGAAAATAGAAACTGCTGTGTGCATTTGATCACATCGTATCAAAATGATTGTGCAGCACCTTAAGCTTAGTGGGTATAACTGGAATCCTTGCTCCACTTCTTGAGGAGACCGTGTTTCGTGGATTCTTCATGGTCTCGCTTACCAAATGGTAAAAGTTCTTTGTCTTCTTCTCATTTACTTCTGAACAAAGAAACTAACTACATGTATGTTGTGTTCCGCATTTTCAGGACCCCGACACCAATAGCAATCATCATAAGCTCAGCTGCATTTGCCCTTGCTCACCTCACACCCGGTGAATTCCCACAGCTGTTTATACTAGGTATGAAAAACATAACTTGAAAACCATAATCTTCTCATGTTTATTAACATTTATATCTCTCTATTTTCATCTGGTTTAGGATCGGTTTTGGGATTAACTTATGCGCAAACTCGCAATCTCATTACCCCGATGGTTATACACGGTTTCTGGAACTCTGGAGTTATTTTGCTGCTCACTTTTCTTCAGGTATAAAACTCATTCCTATGATCATCACTACTACAATGTTAAAACCACATATCTACTCTTAACATTTGTTTGTAATTTGTTTTCTTTAAGGTCCAAGGGTATGACATCAAGGAACTATTGCAGGCAAGCTAGCCTTGCTCTTTCGTTTCTGTTCAAAACGTGATGTAGTATTTTTAAATATGACCATGGACCAGTCTCACTTTATACCATTAATATTATAATTTAGTTACTTCTAGTCACGATCGATCATCTGTATTCTCTTTTGATTTATTTGGCGATTAAAGAAAAGACAGAACAATTAATAACGGTGTTTAACTATGACCACTGATCAGTATCATTTTTAGACCTTAAAAAACGATCATAGGTAAGTAAAGCCCGTATAAACGGGAAGTGGATTAGTAGTGGTAGCGCATTAACATTCATCGTACCTTCTCCTCCATTAATTTTCGATGTCAGCTACTATTAATGTTGCTTGTTTTTATATGTTAAGATGACGTGAAGAGATAAGATCAATGGTTAATGTATGCAGGGCCGGCTCTGAGATTTTGGGGGCCTATGGCGATTTCTATGTAAAAAAAAATTTTGGGGGCCTAAAAAATTTTTTGGAGGCCTATACTCATGTAATTTTCTTCAAAATTTTTGGGGGCCTGAAACAAATGTTTCATTAGGCATTGCCCAGGACCGGCCCTGAATGTATGTACATGTTGAATGCTAATCGTGGACACATTCTTAACAATCGATGAAACCTACATTTAAGTCTTTGACCCTTTCTTACAAAGCATTCATTAGCGAATAGTTAAATGTTATTATGTTAGATTAGTTGGCTATACATGTCTGAATAGGATGAACTTTGATTCACATGTTCACATGTTGTAACGTGTGTTTAATATTCTTGCTTCCCAAAATTTTTAATTACGTAAGAATATTAGAAATGGATATCCCATGGAAATAGAATCAAAGATGTCTTGCAAGTCTTTATTAATCAATGTGGATGACTAACAATTCTTTTTTTTTTTTGCTTATTGTAAGAAGTTTCATATTATACAAAATCATACTAGTGTTTATTAACTAACCACTAATTAAGGCCGGCTACTAATAAACAACTTATTAATAAGATGGTGTTAAGGGACTATAAATTTGAAGCCGACAAGTCTTATACATATGCATTGCAAAAACAAGGAGAACAAATAAAATGGGACCAAAATGCTGGTTTATCCTCACACTTTTGATGTTTCAAGGTCTTTTCATTTCACATTCCCAAGCACAAGAAGACTTTGATTTCTTCTACTTAGTTCTTCAGGTTTCTACTCTGATCCAATTCTATCGTTATTCTTCGTTAGTTAATGTGAAAAAAAAACCGTTTATTTTAGTGAGGTAATGTCATAAAATAGATAGCCAATAATAATTGTTTGTGTGTATATATGCAGTGGCCAGGAGCCTATTGTGATACAAAACGTAGTTGTTGCTATCCAACAGCAGGTAAACCTGCGGCTGATTTTGGCATCCACGGTCTTTGGCCTAATTACAAAGATGGTTCATATCCATCAAACTGCAATCCCGACAGCGAATTTGATAAATCTCAGGTACACAAACATAATTGCGTAACTAAAATATTCCCCTTTTTATTCACTTGGCGATGTTTTTAAAAAAAAATATTATATGTAGATAACGGATCTGGTTAGTAGGTTGAAAAAGACGTGGCCAACACTAGCATGTCCGAGCAACGAAGGGTTCAAGTTTTGGGAGCATGAGTGGGAAAAACATGGTACATGTTCTGAGTCAGTAATGGATCAACATGAGTACTTCGAAAATTCTCTTAAACTCAGAGACAGAGCAAATCTCCTTGAAGCACTCACAAACTCTGGTATATATATATATACACTAACTAATCCACGTATTATATTACTCATGAATTAACGTGTATACTTAATGGCTTTTATTTTCTGTGGTAATTACAGGAATCAAACCAGATGATAAATTCTATGATCTTGAAAAGATCAGAGAGGCAATAAAAGATGCGATTGGATTCACTCCAGGAATTGAATGTAACAAAGATCCTGAGCGTAACTCCCAACTTCACCAAATCTACATTTGCGTCGATACATCAGGAACTGAGTTTATCGAATGTCCGATTTTGCCTAGAGAAAGATGTCCTTCTCGACTCCAGTTTGCGAAGTTTTAATCATATCTTCCTTTCATTGTGGTGAATCAATAATGTTATCTCTTGTTTTTGTTTTTTTTTCAAATTTTATGTATCTTCTCCAATTTCCAGAGTTCAAATTTATTGGGGACTCTAAAATGTAATGCTTTATGTTACTTTATCTAAATTTAAGTAATAAACTTTGTTATAATAATAAATTATATGTCTGATATTCGGATGCAATCTAGGCTTCATTAAACTGCAACCTTATTAGTGGCGTCAGAAAATTGAGCTAGCTACCACTAGAATCGGTCTTTTTTCCCACTTTTGGATCGAGTTTGGCTTATTTCTATACGATAGTTTAGTAGTTTATATTTTCTAAACTATGATGTAATCATGTAACATAGTATAACATCTCCTTTAAAGTTTGAAGGGCATACATGTATAACGGATTATTTCTTTACACGTGAAATAACATAATCTTCTTTCAAATTTGGACTGCATGAATGCATAGCAGATTCAATAATCCTTACATTAAGTACTAGTGACTCCGGTTCAAGCCAATCGTACCCAGACACTTTTGCATGGACCGGGCTGCTTACACTTACAAAAGACCAACTCAGATTGAATTTTTTTGAATATGGAACGAGAGCACAACTGAATCACATGGAATAATTTTTGTAACTAACGTGGAATAACCACCTTTACGGTGCCATATTCAATTTCCCAACCTTTTTATGGACACTCTTTGATTATTTTATATATATATTCACTAGTGGAGATAAAAGTTGAGATTAATAAAACAAAAAGGTAATACCGAAATTCAAAAAATATTAAATTAGTAATTCATTTTTTCCAACCATGTGATTGTTAGGTATAATCCATTTTATATATAAGCAAGTAATTGTAATAAACTCTTTGGAAAGAAAAAAAACTAAACCAAGTAACATAGAGGACAAAACAAATGAGAAGAAACATCATCGTAAGCTTTTTGATTTTACAGATCCTTGTCGTGTCTTCTTCTCAATCAGCACCAGGCTTCGATTTTTTCTACTGGGTCACCTACGTATGTTTCTAACAGCACATGCATGCATCACATATAATATATATTGTACATTTCTACATACGTACGTACATTTTCTTACTGTATATAATAATATGGATGGTAGTGGCCAGGAGCAATATGTACTAGCCAAAGAGGATGCTGTCCTCCAGCAAAAGGCAATACGGCGTCAGATTTTGTGATCCATGGACTCTGGCCTCAATTCAACAATGGCACTTGGCCTGCGTTTTGCGATCAAACCAATCTCTTTGATATCTCCAAGGTGATATAGATAATAGATCCTGTATTACTGATATATTTTAATTAAATATACATTTGATTAATTTGGGAGGATTTTAGAAATAGTGGAGCCAAAACGACTTCCATATATATATATATATATAAATTTTTATACTAGTATATATAGCACACAAACTATTCTTGGAGTTACTATTTTCATTTTATCTTCTAATAGCACATAAAAATATTAGAAAATGTAAATTTGAGATATTAAAATCTTTAAAATGTTAATTGCTTCGTAAACGTCAAACACCCATATGAAAATACAAAGGTTCATGTGGAACTGAATCTTGAAAAAACTATAGGTATCAGATATAGTAAGCAGAATGGAGAAGAAATGGACAGAGTGGGGAGTGTGGGCATGTCCAAGCAACGAGACTAAGTTATGGGAACACGAGTGGAACAAGCATGGCACGTGCGTCCAGTCTTTATTCGACCAACACTCTTATTTCCACACTAATCTCAAGCTGAGACAAAACCTCGACCTCCTAAACATCTTTAAACAAAAAGGTAAATAAAAGAAAAATAATCCAAAAGAGCCGTGGAAATGTGATGTAGATTGATAACTATTTGTTTTTGTGTAGGAATTAAACCGGATGATGGATATTACGGTTTGGAAGAGATCAAGAACGCGATCAAGGGCGAGCTCGGATTTGCGCCAGGTATCCAATGCGATGTAGATGTAGAGGGGAAGAAGCAGCTTTTCCAAATCTATATATGTCTTGACAATTACGCGAAAGAGTTTGTGGAATGCCCGTACGTTCCTGATAGATCGTGTGGTTCCAAGATCAAGTTTCCAAAGTCCCCAAAGAAAGATTATCTCGCTGAGAGTCTAAGTGTAATGGCTTCTATTTAAACAACCAAGTAAACAAGAGAGTGTGCTCTAATAAGAGAGTGAGTGTAAGAATCTTAAATAACTATGCTGAGTGTGATGCCTTATGTTTTAAGTACTAAGTAGACAAGAGAGTTGAGAGTGTATTAGTTGTTTTCCAATAAGAGAGTGAATGTGAGAAGCATCAAAACTATGATGAATTTTGAATAAGGAGTCAAATTGCTATGAAGTAGAAAAAATGAAGAAAAAAAACTTAACTGAACTTCGTTTATTTCACTGATAATTTCTGTTGACAATTATATATTTCTTTTGCTTAAAATTCAATATTTATATTTCTGTACAACTAAAACGCTATCTTGTCGATCTAGTTGACTTGGCTCCACCTTTCATTTATAATTTTCCTTTTTTTTTCCAAAATTTAATTTGAACAACTAATTTTATCCCATCTTGAAAGTGTTAATCAAGTGTTGACAAAAGAAATATTTCCTTACGAGAGTAAAACTATCAGTTTATGCACACAAAAACAACATTTTTAACATTTCTTTAAACATGAGATCTTTCACTTTGTCAATGGTTTCGTGTTTTCTGATGTTCCTCATTCTACATCATATAAAAGGTAACTTTAATCTTGTTGCATTATCAATTATGTACCTAAATTTATTTTCTTACAATTTAACAATTTCTTGCGGTTGGTAAATATAAAATAATAGAGTTGGAAGCTGGGGAAGTGTGTTCGTTTACAGATCAATTCCCCGGAAAATGTGGCGATGACGGACCCAAAAAATGCGTGAACGCCATGCAGAAGGCAAAACCAGAAGCAAAATTACGTTGCGAATGTTTTAATCACCCCACTGTCATCTTGGGTTCGAAAAAATACATTTGCGAATGTCGACATGATTGCTAATTAAGAAACTGCATCACACGGTTTTTTTCAAAAAAAAAAAAAAAACTGCATCACACGACCAAAATCTCTTTAGTAATATATGAGACCTTACAAGAAGAGTATTGGGTGCTGTAAGAAACTCAGGATAATGTGTCTTTTCATTTGCATGTCCTTGTTTGATCTTGGTTTAATGGGATACGTTGTGAGCTTATGTGATGATCGGATAATGAGGAAAAAAATTAGATGTGATATTCTGATGCAATCTAGGCTTCATGAAATTTCAACCTTTTTACATCATAACTCTTATGAACACCTTTAACTCTGCTTCTTAAGTGAGTTTTTAAGAAGTGGGTCTCATCCGATCCTGATGATTTTAGAAGTTTATTCTTAGACGTTTATTTTACGATTTATATGGAAGTACATCTAGAGAGTATCAATGAGTTTGGTTCATGTATCAAACAGAAAACAAAACAAATCTCGTAGTGTATATATTTTTTTTTGTCAAACAGAAAATTAGAAAACAAATCTTCATACTCATAGTGTATATTAATGGGGTTATTTGTGAAATAACCCAAAAAAAAGAATAATTAGTTTTCTAGAGTAGGCATGGGCATTCGGGTAGTCGAGTCGGGTTCGGGTCGGATCCTTTTGGGTCCGGGTCTTTCGGATCTAGGAGTTTAGGATCCGATAGGGTAATTTCAAATTTTCGATTCCGGATCACTTCAGGTACCGGGTCTGGGTCGGGTCTTAGATAGTTAGACCCATTCAAGTAATTAGAATTTATCGGTTCGGATTCGGTTTGGGTTCGACCTAAAAAAATACCTAAATATATAAAAAAAAATATCTGAAAATATTTATATATCCGAAAATATTCAAAATTTGTGTTTTTATTATATTAAAATGTGTATATATTAAACTATGCGAGATACAATAACAATTTGTTACCTTCTAGTGGTTGACCCCCTTAGACCACCTCCATCGAAGGTCTTTAAGATAGGTTCTTTAAAAAGAAAGGCAAAAAAATAAATGAAAAAAAGATAAATTAAACAGAACCGCTCTCTTTTTTTTAGACAGAACCGCTCTCTAAATGAGGAGTTTGAGAAGAAAAAAGTTCTTTGTGCTTCAATGTTTTACAATTGTAGCTTTGCATTTAAATGTAATTCTGTAATTATACTCTTATTGTAATTTTACACTATATTTGAATAAATAGTTGTTAAAAAAAAAAAAATGAGGAGTTTGAGAGAAACTAAGAACTCCATACGTGGCAGCTTTCTCCTCCACAATCCTTCCTTCCTGCCTAATTCCTGTATCAAAACTTTCATCACTCCCTTTTGATCTCTTTCGCTGTCACTTCATGATCCATCCTTCCTGCTGAAAGTTTCGACCTTTTTCTTTAAGAAAGTTTCCGAGATCTCGGCGGAGTTGTGAAGAACCCATCATGGTTTTGTACTCAGTCGGTCTGATTATTATGGTGATTTCTAGCTGGGTTTTGGATAAAGCTCAGGGCTTTGGCGAATTCGGTTTCAAAATTTTGGAGATGTTTATGTTGGGATTGTTGTTTTTGTACAGTTTGCATTACGCGAATGTGACGGTCGGGACGCCGTCTGATTGGTTTCTGATTGCTTTAGACACCGGAAGTGACTTGTTTTGGTTGCCCTGTGATCGTACCAATTGTGTCCGTCAACTCAAAACTTAGCCTATATTATGTGTTGCTGCTCTTCCTTTTGCAGGTGGAGGCAAGGTCACAAGAAGAAACAAAGCATGTGACACAAAAAAAATAGAGCCATTCGAGTAGGCTGTGACAAAGGATAATAATACATTCGATCTCATTCTGCTTGCTTTTGCTTATTGGTGACTCTGGTGTTGGAAAATCCTGCTTGCTTCTAAGGTTTGCTGTAAGTAAGCTTCTTTCTTTCTCCTGCTGAATAATTGTTTCAGATTTCTTACTTACATATGTTAATTGCTCTTTATCATTGTACATACAGAAGTAACAGTCTATGCGTCTATAACGTTCACGAGCATATTTGCTAAGATCAAAGGTTTGTTTCTAAACTCAGTGCTTTGATTTGCTCTCGTAGTTATTATCTTATCGTCATGTGATGATTCAATGTATGTTTTCTGGATATGCTTTCATCACACTTGCTTCTCTCTTTCATCAGACACTCACTCTCAAGTTTAACCTGTTGTCTTGGTCTGTGGTGGAGGTTATGTGATTTGACTTTTTGGGTGTTATGGAGTGACTTGGATGAGAATCTGCAGAAGGCTTTCCACAGGTTCTTGGAGATCAGAGGGATCAAGCCGAGCTTCACTGACTTTCTCGCTGATTATGTGGCCAACAAAGACAGCAGAGAGTATCCAATAATTTTTTTTTTTTTAAGAACCTCAATGAGGTTCTATCATTGGAGGATAAAAATAAAAGTTAGATAAACAAAGGTTCTCAAAATATCAAATCACTATATATATTACTAATTTATAGATTAGTTACCCTAAAGGGTTCTTATTGATGGACATGCTCTTACTTTCTATAGAAACAACTCGTCTTTGACTTCCTCTTAATGCATTTTATTTAATTTACATTATTAATTCGGGTATCCATTGGATTTCGGGTTTGATCCGGGTCGGATCCAAAACCCGATAGGGTAATTTGATCGGACTGATCCTATCCGGACCGGATTTTTTTAGGTTGATTTCAGTTCGGATCTTTGGGTCTTGGTAAAATGTCCAGGCCTATTCTAGAGAGAGAGAATTGAGCTACTCTTGCAGACTCGAGTACTAATTTCTGAAAACTTTACAAAACTATCCTACAACTTTATAAACCCGGAACATCATAATCCAGATTTTTGGATATTTTTCCTTAAGAAAACTAGAAACCCCTATTAGAAACTCGGCGCGTGGAAAATGTTCTTCGTTATCTTGCGCGAGTGGAAAACGTTGCGTATAAAATGACGTCATACTTCTTCTTCTCTATATATATTAAAAAAATACAACCGTGTCAGTAGAAAAGTCTGTGCAGATCCAAATTACTTCGACTTCCTTTTACCTTTTCTCACTTCATCTGCTGCTGCTCCTTCGTCTTCTCTCTCCCAAGAGATTCACGTAAGACATAAGGTACACCTTTTTATCTATGAAAGAGTTTGTCTTTGACTAGTAGATAAACTAGAGAAGAGAGTCAAATTTACACGTAACTCATGTTTTACCCAGATTAAGCAAAAACCGTCTTTAGTTTATTTCATTCTAACTCATTTAGTGGGATTTTTCTTCATTCTTGGACGTAATTGATGCGCAATCATAAAAAAAATAGTGAAGAGTATGAATCACCTTTGTTTTATATTAGCCTAGATCATTTCTGTGTTACGCAATTGATGTTTATCCTTCTTTTCACTTTTAGACTTACTCTAGCTGTCGGAATCGTCACTGTTTTAGATCATTATCCAATTTCAGATTAAAGTTTTAAAAAACTTCTGATTAGTTGAACTTCTTTGTCAAATTCAGACAACTTTAGAGCACCATTAATGGAGGTTGCTTAGGAGAAGAGGGTTGCTTAATTTGAAGAGAGAGAGTGTGAAAAGTGCTTAATTAAACAGCTAGTGATTATTCGATCAGAGAGTGTTGTCTTTGGTCCGAAAGTGAAACTAATATTTGCTTTAATAACAATGACCTTATATTGTGTTTGAGTAGAGAAAGACCTCTTTTTACAAAATAATGGCTGGAGTTATTCCGACGATTGACTTGGGGGAGGTTTCAGACAAGAACCTGAATCAGCAAATCCGTGAAGCCAGCGAGAGGTACGGATGCTTCAGGGTGATTAACCATGGAGTTCCATTGTCTTTGATGTCTGAAATGAAGAAAACCGTTATGAATCTATTCGAACGTCCTTACGAGGTGAAAGTTCGTAACACCGATGTGTTACTAGGGAGTGGTTACAGAGCTCCTAATGAGATCAATCCTTATTATGAAGCGTTGGGTCTCTACGACATGGCTTCTCCTCAAGCTGTTAACACCTTTTGTGACCAGCTTGAAGCTTCTACAGATCAAAGGTTTGTACTTTCTCTTGTTTTTTAGTTGATAGAACGTTGACTTATGTATTGAATTTGGTTTGTAGGGAGATTATGGTGAAGTATGCGAAAGCTATTGATGAACTTGCAAAAGATTTAGCAAGGAGGTTAGCAGAGAGTTACGGCTTAGCGGAGAGCAACTTCTTCAAAGGATGGCCGAGCCAGTTTAGGATTAATAAATATCATTTCCAACCCGAAACGGTCGGGAAACTCGGTGTCCAGCTACACACTGATTCAGGCTTCTTGACGATTCTTCAAGACGATGAAAACGTTGGTGGGCTTGAAGCAATGGACCATTCTACGGGGAAGTTCTTTCCCATAAGCCCGTTGCCAAACACTCTTGCTATCAACCTCGGGGACATGGCTGCAATATGGAGCAATGGGAGATTGTGCAATGTGAAGCATAGAGTGCAATGCAATGAAGCGACAAAGAGGTTTTCTATCGCTTCTTTTTTGTTGGGACCGATGGATAAAGATTTGGAGCCGCCAAGTGAGTTTGTGGATGCTGAACATCCTCGATTATACAAGGCTATTAGTCACGACGGGGTAAGGAATATTAGAATGACTACAAAATTGCATGACGGAGAGGCTCTCAAGCTTATAGCCTATGATGAATGATGATAGACTTAAATTACCTTGAAGAGCTGGTTAAGGTGGTTGATTTATATTAAACCGAAAAACTTTAGTATTCTTGTTTAAGTTTTCCTAAGATTGATTAATAGAGATGCATCCTCTGTATTAATATCTATGGATTTTCGTTTTTTTTACATTTGATATCTTTGTGGATGCATGTATAATGTAATCCGTGAAGCAAATTATGAAAAATATTTCAAAGCAAGTTAAATATAACAGTTTGGCCTGTCATGTCTTTGTCATATAAGAAAAAACATTAGAAAGTGTGACGTCCATACATAAACAAAGAAAGCTGATACATAGAGAATAATTCTACTGGCAGCGTAGAAGAAAATAAAAAAGGGTATTTTTCAAAAAAAAATAAAATAAAAAGAATATGAAAAGCGTTACCACCACCAAAATCTATCTGGGGCATCAACTAGCTTAATCCCCAGGTTCCAATTCTCACAACGCCTTATAAAAGGTGTTGTTTTGATTGCCTTGGCTTGACAACCATGGAGAGGAGCTCTAATTAAACAAGGCTCCATCGACAAGGCCCTAACACACGGCGGATCAGGAGCTGCACCGTTCTTTGGAGCGTAGAGTATCCATGGCTTTAATCCTCCAAGACCATGAGCTACGAATCCAAACGTAGATCTCTCGGTTGTGACAATATTATCAGTTAAACTCAATAAATAGATCTCAGCCAATGCCTTTTGGTCGTGAAGCTTCTCGTCTGTTTGCTGAACCTTTTCTCCACTTGGCTGATACACTTCAATGACCTCTCCTGTTAAACTAGGTCGTTCTAAATACATTTTCCTTAGCTCATCAGAGTACTCTGCATGCAGAGATGCAACAAGAACAGCTTTATGTTTCTTGCTTCTTGTTGTTGTATTCATGACTTGTGATTCTGTTGTAGCTAACTCAGGCAACAGTTTCTCTCTTTGTGTACATGATACTATCTGGTCCATGACATGCTGAAAATATCCACCTGGCGTGCTGAACACTCTGATTTGAAGCCCTAGTAACTCGTCGGCTTTTGATAAGTTAGCGTTGTAGGTACTTGTGACCATGTCCCAAACTTGGTTTGTGGGGTGGAAAAGATACCGACTCAAGTGATGGAAGACAGTATCTTTCTGTGGGAAGAGCTTGATGAGTTTGGTCTGAAAGCTAGGTATCAACCATAGAGATGGAACAAAGTAGAGGTTAGATTTCACAACAAGCCATGGGACATTCTTGATGAAACCTTGGTTTGCTTCGCAGTAAAACATTTTATCCTCATCCCTGTAATCATGAAGAAGATGAAGATAAAGATGGGACGGTGTTAATGTAGTCGAGTTAATGGCATGATTCTTCAACATTGTACCGTAACAACGAGAATAATCCTTGTAGTAGCTATCTATCTGACCCATTAATGGAAAGTCTAGAGGAAGCAACCATGAAGTATTCGGAAAAGGTTGACAGAAGAGATCAGTTATATCCTTTCGTTGGTCAACAAGAAGGACTCTATTTGTTAAGAGAGCATAGAGGAACGAAGAGACCATTGATATTATTCTGTTTCCTAGACCATACTCGGTGGCCACCCACACTACATATCCACATTCTTTATCAGAGCTTCTTTCTTGATTCTCATCGTCGTTGCCAAGATTCTTTGTTGCTTTCTTGTAAGCTTCTGTGCCTGGACCGCAACGCTTGTGAAGCTTCTCGTAGCGTCTTAGCGTAGAGACAAGATAAGAAGAAGGCTTGTATGGTGAAGGCTTGCGATACAATGATTGAGTATACCTGCTCACGCAAGAGTCTTCATCGAAACCCGGTTTTAAAAGCCCTCCTAACAATCTATCATGGTGTGGTTTGGATTCACTTGAACCTATAAACACACAAGAAAATGAAAATGTATAAGTTAACCAAAACATACTCAACATATAGAATGTCTTTTTTTTTTTTTGAAGATTCAAAATATAGAATGTTTTCTTTTTTTTTTTTTTTCTTACTGTTGATTGTAGCATCAAGAAGTTGGTCGTTGAAGTTGTTAGAGAATGATAGTAAGATTACAAAACCAATGAGTAAGCCACTAAAGATGAATGTTATAAGGATCTTCATCTTCAAACCTAAAGCCCTGAAAACATAGCCGGAGATCTGTAATATGTGATACATGTTGACTTTAGTTCAAGTAAGAGATGGTTCAGATAGTGTCATTTTTATATCTAGCGTGATTATTGAGTAGGAGATGATTCAGAAATTAGTTCTATATATCTAGTGTGATTATTAGAACTCTTAATCGTGATGCAAAGTGGACGAAGATTTATATCTGTAAATAAGATTATTGAATATAAAAAAAAAAAAAAAAAAAAAAGATTATTGAATATTCTAATGTATAATTGTTCAGTTGGGACTCTATCAACGAAATCCGACGTGATTCTACGTTTGTTTAATGTAAAAATATAAAGTCTTGGTCTTCGATTTATGTGAACAATCAAGCTGTATTGTAGAGTTAATTAATTAAGAAACGGTCAGTGAGAGTGTTGTTTTGAATTATCTACAAGGTAAAATTTGGAATCAGTACAATACAGCACATGTCATGAATTTTTTTTGCTGTAATCAATATTCATGTGCTATTTTTCTATTGACAAATCATGTTCATTTATGTATTCAACTAAAAATCATACCTGCTCAGATCCGAAAGTTGGCCTCGTTGACTAAATAAAACAGTTGATAGTGTTAACACGAGCTTACTACATCGGCCTAAGTTGAGATCCCATATTAATACAATAGATAGAACGGTCTAACCTGATCTTCCAATTAGTTTTTTAGAAACTTTTTTACTATCTATCTTATTAGAACATAAAAATCTTTTGAAACTTATCTTACATTAAAGTGCTGTGTATTACAGAATTGCGCTATTAATTTTTTTTTTGTTAACTTTTGATTTATCATAAAGAACAATTTTGTCATATAATATTTGAACACAACATAAAAGTACTTAAATATTATATATTAAATTGTCTAAGATATTCCACATGAAAAGGTTGTGACACAAAAAATATTTTTCAAGTGGTAAATAAACAATTTACAACAAATGACAATGTTCTAATAAATTAAAAAATAAAACGGACGACTGGAACAATGTTTTAGTAAAACCTGATCTCACAAAAAAATATGTAAACTTTATATGATAAAACAAAATATGTTAATTGTGTTGTGATTAACATATTTTGTTTTATCAAAATTGTTAATTAACCAACACGAATTGGTCTAGTGGTACTTGAGGGAGAAACCCAATACTGTAACCTTCGATTCGCGTTGGCCACCAGTGATTTAACATTCCTTCGCCGGAGAAAGACACACCCTTTTACACCAATCCCGGCACGAAAAGTGTCAAAGAAAAAAAAATATATGTAAATCTTATATATGTTCAAAAATATGTTAATCTTATATTATAATGATATCATTGAATCAATTAACAGAAATATCATTTTTATGATGGTAATAAAAAATCTCTAACATTAAAAAAAGTGAAGAGTATAATTATTTGGAAATAACTTTTAAAATTTTTTAGAAGGTTGGTAGGTAACAACGAAGGGTTACAATCAAAATTCATCAACTAGCTTAATCCCTGTGATACGGTCCTCACAGTACTTAATAAAAGGGGTTGTCTTAATTGTCTCGGCTTGACAAGCCGAGATTGGTGCTTTAAGAGAACAAGGCTCCATAGACATGGCCCTAACACACGGTGGGTCAGGAGCTTTTTCGTGCCTTGGCTCGTACAGTATCCATGGCTTTAATCCTCCTAAACCTTGCGCTACGTATCCAAACGTAGACCTTGTGCTTGTCACAAGCTTATCAGTTAAACTCAAAAGATAAATCTCTGCGAGAGCCTTTTGGTCATGTACCTTCTTGTCTGTTTGTTGAACCCTTTCTCCACTTGGCTGATACACTTCAATGATCTCTCCCGTTGAGCTAGCTCGTTCCAAGAACATGTTCTTTAGCTCATCAGAGTACTCTGGATGCAGAGATGTGACAAGAACCGCTTTGAGTTTCGGTGTCTTTGTTATATTCATCACTTGTGATGATCCCTTTGTAGCTAGTTCAGGCAAGAGCTTCTCTCTTTGTGTGCATGATACAATCTGGTCCATGACATGCTGGAAATAGCCAGCTGGCGTGCTGAACACTCTTATTTGAAGCCCTAGTACCTCGTCAGCTCTTGATAAGTAAGCGTTGTAGGATCTTGTGACCATTCCCCAAACTTGGTTTGTTGGGTGGAACAGATACCGACTCAAGTGGTGGAACGATGTATGTTTCTGTGGGAAGAGGTTGATGAGTTTGGTCTGAAAGCTAGGTATCAACCATAGAGATGGAGCATAGTAGAGGTTAGACTTCACAACTAGCCATGGGACGTTCTTGAGAAAAGCTTGGTTCTCTTCACAGAAGAACTTCTTATCATGATCCCTTGAGTCATGGAAGATATCAATATAAAGATGTGACGGTGTTGTAGTTGAGTTAACGGCATGGTTCTTCAGCATTGTCCCGTAACAATGCGAATGTGTACGGTTGAAGCTATCTATCTGATTTGTTAAGGGAAAATCTGGAGGAAGTAACCAGGAAGTACCGGGAAAAGGCTCGCAGAATAGGTCGGTTATATCGTTCCTGTGGTCAACAAGCATGACTCTATCTGTCATAAGAGCATATGTGAAGAGAGAGGCCATAGAGAGTATTCTGTTTCCTAGACCAAACATAGGTGTCCACACTACATATCGACAATCATCACCGTTGCTGCTTGTTACATTGTTGTTACCAAGTTGCTTTATAGCTCTCTTGTAAGCTTTTGTGCCTGGACCGCAACGCTTGTGAAGCATCTCGTAGGTTCTTAGCTTAGAGACAAGGTTTGTAGATGGTTTGTATGGTGATGGTTTGCGTAAAGAGGACTGATGATACCTACTCAAGCAAGATTCCTCATCAAAACCTGTTGCAAGAAGCCCTCCTAGTAGAATTAACATGAAAGAAAGATCATTCAAGTGAGCATTTATGTTTCTTCTAACCAAGTTTTGAAATAAAATTAAACAATTTGTTACCGGTGGTTGTAAGATGAGACGACTTGTGAAGTTTGACGATGTTGTAAGATGGTAGTAGCAACACCATGGAAAGTAGTAAGCATGTGGCGAATGCTATCGTCAGCTTCATCATACCTGAGATCTTAAACGACATGTTGTTGTCTTCCAGTTTCTTCATGTTGAATCTGGTTTTTGGATGAAGGAGATGTGGGTGAAATCTCATGTTGTGACCGTCACAAGATGAAAGAAGACGAGCTCTGGACGGTATGCTTTCTACAATATCTTTTTATCGTAATGCATTACTAAGAGAGTCAATGTCTTTTGTCCAAAAAAAAAAAGTCAATGTCTTAAAATGATGGTAGAGAGTCAGAAAATCACTTACTCAATAAGACTATGACATGTCATATTTATTATTATTCATGATTAGTTACTTTAAATATGTTTCCATATCAACTTCTGAAACGATTTGTTTCCAAAATTTAATATTTCATATCTATCTGTTTCATTTTAATTGTCATTTTAAGTTTATAAACACAGATTAAGAAATCATTTAATTTTACATATTTTCAAAATAAAAACACAATTACTTATACACCTAACCATATTTTAACCAATAAAAATTAAAAAAAAAATAAAACTAATAAATTTTACATTAAAATTATAAACGACATTTATTTGGAACAATTTTTTTTTCTAAAATGACAAATAAAATGAAACGGAGCTACGTGAAGAGTGGGTTGGGCAGCTGCCCCCCCCCCCATGAATTTTTTTTCTAATTTTTGTATATGATTTTTAGCAATGCCCCTAATGAAAATTTACATTTGTAACTATATTATTAGTGTTTTAAAACGTTGCCCCAGATGGAAACTATTCCTAGATCCGCCATTGACTCCTTCCATTTTTTTATAAGTAGTTGTAAAGAAGTATTTTTGTTTCAAAGTATAAGTAGTTTTCAAATATTTAGGTAATTTTTACATTTATTAAATATGGTATATCTAATCAAATAATACTAACTTATTTATGATTGGTTTAATTAAATTAAATTTAACATATCAAATGTTACTTTAAAATAACAATAATTTTTTTCTTAATATTGGTGCATTCAACAAAAAATAATTATTAAAAAACGGAGGGAGTATTAGCTGTGTACTTCACAGAAATTCAGTGTTCCAAAATAGGTGTATGCGACAAAACGATTTAAAAAGAAAAATTAAAAATTCGGTTTAGGAGTTCAAAAATCAGTTAAGTCCCACCTAATGAACAATCTCCTTTTAACCGTCTACTACTAGCTATTTCTTAAACATTGCAAAAATGAAACAGATTTGTATGTTTGCTGATGCATTTATTTATTGGCTTGGTTGGTGTAAAGGATACAATTATAAAACTGTAAAGTGTAACATCATCTATTAAGTATATGAATGAATAATGATTATTATAGACGAAAATCAAAAGAGAGACAACACTGATCCTCTGTTTCAGTAACTCAATAATCAAATGAAACCAGCTTATAATAAACACAAGAACTATTATAACTCATCAAATAGCTTCAGACCATCATTGTCTCGATCCTCACAATGCTTTACAAAAGGAACAACCTTCCCCGAGTCAGTTCCCCAATCAGCATCACATCCATGAGAGGGAGGAGTAAGGTGACAAGGGTCTATCGACGTGGACCGAACACACGGCGGATCAGGAGCTGAAGCATCCGTTGGTTGATAGAGTAACCATGGCTTCAACCCTCCTAGACTATGAGCAACGTATCCGAACGTGGACCTTGCGCTTGTGACAATCTTATCCGTCAAACTCAAAAGATACATCTCAGCCAAGGCCTTTTGGTCGTGAAGCTTGTTATCAGTTTGTTGATACCTTTCTCCACTTGGTTGATAAACTTCTATTAACTCTCCTGTCGAGCTAGGTTGTTCCCAAAACATGTTCTTGATGCGATCAGCGTACTCTGGATAGAGAGATGTTACTAGAACAGCTTTGAGTTTCTGTCTTTGAGATATATTGAGTTTTGATTCTTCTTGTGAAACTACTTGTGGTAATAGCTTCTCCCTTTGCGTGCAAGACAAGATCTGATCCATGACGTGTTGGAAATATCCTGGTTGGTCGCTGAACACACGTATTTGAATCCCGAGCCTCTCGTCTGCTCTTGCTAAGTGAGCATCGTGGTACCTAGTGACCATACCCCAGACTTGATTCGTCGGGTGGTAAAGATACCGAGCCAAGTGATGAAACACTGCTTCTTTCTGAGGGAACAGCTTCATCAGTTCGGTCTGAAAAGTTGGATTAAACCATAGAGATGGAACAAAGTAGACATTGGCTTTAACAATCAACCAAGGAACCTTATTGATCATATCTTGATCCTTGGTGCAAAAGAACATCTTATCTTCATCTCTTGAGTCATGTATGATATGAAGGTAAAGATGCCGCGGGGTCGAGTTAGTACTAATGGCATGATTATTCAACATTGTTCCGTAACAACGAGAGTACTCTTTGTTGTATCCATCAATCTGATTCATCAAGGGGAAGTCACGAGGGAGTAACCATGAAGTACCTGGAAACGGCTCGCAGAAGAGATCACTAATGTCTTTGCTTTGATCAACGAGGACGACTCTGTTTGTCAAGAGAGCATAGAGGAAGACAGATGCGAGAGTGAGTATTCTGTTTCCTAGCCCGTAAACCGCTACCCACACAATGTATCTGCATTTACCAACGGATTTGTTTGCGTAATTCGCGTCGTCGTGGCTAAGATTCTTTGTTGCTTTCTTGTAAGCTTTTGTGCCTGGACCGCAACGTTTGTGAAGCTTCTCGTAGCGTCTTAGCTTAGAGACAAGATATGGTGATGGCTTGTATGGTGAAGGCTTGCGATACAGCAACGATTGAGTATACCTACTCACGCAAGAACCTTCATCGAAACCCGGTTTTAAAAGTCCTCCTATCAATCTATCATGGAGAGGTTCGGATTCACTTGAACCTGTTAATCACAAGAAAATGAAAATATATAAGTTAACAAAAACATACTCAAAATATAGAATGTTTTGCTTCTTTTTCATCTTACTGTTGATTGTAGCAAGAAGAAGTTGGTCGTTGAAGTTGTTAGAGAATGATAGTAAGATTACGGAACCAATGAGTAAGCCACTAAAGAGGATTGTTAAAATAATCTTCATCTTCAAACCCATAGACCTGAAAACATCACCGGAGATCTGTAATATGTGATACATGTTGACTTTAGTTTTGAGTAGGAGATGATTCAAAGAGAGTTGTATATATCTAGCGTGATTATTACAACTCTTATTCGTGATGCAAGGTGGAGAAAGATTTATTATATTTATAAATGAGAGTTTGAGTATTCTAATGTGTCATTGTTGAGTTGTGATTATCAACGAAGTCCCAACGTGACTCTACGTTTGTTTAATGTATTAAAAAGTCTTTGATCTTCGATTTATGCGAACCATCAAGCTGTATTTTATAGTTAATTATTTAAGAAATGGCTAATGAGAGATTTGTTTTGATTGATCAACAATAGTTACAGTCTCGAAAACTTGGAATCTATACTATACATCAGGTGTCATTAATTATTATTAGTATTTTAATTAACAACTAGATTTTGACCCGCGCTTAAGAAGCGCGGGTTTTTTTTTGTTAACCGTAAAGCCAAATATTTCGGAATAGATATTTTGATTGGTTTTGATGGTGTTTTTAAATTTGATTGAGTTGATGGTAAAAGGGGTTCGAGATACCTTGTATTTATAAAATGAGAGGGTTGTTGTTCTATTATTTTATTTCAGTCTTGTAAA